AATTATTTTTGGCAGCAATTCAAAGAAATGAAGCAAAACCTGATCTCTCAAACACAAAGGCGCGCTCTAAATAGTTTGACTCCGCCCCTTGATTTAAACCCAAATGCAGTAATCATCCATTATGGCGACCATTGTTTAAGAAAGGCTTTTAATATTTCTACATCTTTCCTTTTAATTTTTGCAATCACCTACATCCAGTGTTTAGGAACAGATAACAAGTTACACTGTGGTAATACTACGTGATGGTGAAGCGAATCGTTTCGAATTCAGAATTTACCGCCACAAAAGAAGACGGTTTTGATCGGAGGAAGGAGATACAAACCTCAACATTTTCTTCCCTTGTGATGAAAACAAAGAAAATTATAAGAGCTTTTCAAAGATACGACTACTGTTCACACGCACTGCATCGGCTGCAGCTCAAGCTGTTTGGAATAAAGAGGTCTGAATGCCACGACGGTTGATTGACAAATGATCCAGAGGTACCTAAGGCACCTCTACTCTTGTAGCATACCTTCGCATTTAAACAGCGAAAAAACTTTCTGATTTTTTTTAAAAGAGGTCTGAATGCCACGACGGTTGATTGACAAATGATTCAGAGGTACCTAAGGCACCTCTCCTCTTGTAGCATGCCTTCGCGTTTAAACAGCGAAAAAACTTTCTAATTTTTTTTCTTAAATTTCTCTAATGCCGACAAATTCAATACAATGTGCCAAAAATAAATTTCCTGAGCCTTCGTAAAAAGGGTCTGATCTCTTTTCTTAAAAAATCTTAATTACAATTTAAACAAAACGTGAACAGCACCAAATTAATAAACTCTGTTTTTTCTTAATACACCCCAAAGTTTGCACGATAAATTTTATCACCCTTTAGAGTACATATCCAAAATCGACTCAAATTCTGAAACTGTGATCAAATTTCCTCTCATATCTTTTTAAGTGGATAAAGCCTTCTAGTTTTTCGGATGAAAAATTTTCAAGCAGTTTGCTTGCCTACTTCCTATGGGGAAACTGTCTCTCTCATTTCAGTTTTATCGCGAGTCTTCGTTTTTTAAACAATTTTTGTTATCTCAAAACAGCAATAAATAACTTATGACACCTTTTTTTTAGAGCTTTAATTACGTGGAAAACGGGTTTGGCTCCCTACGCAATAGATATTCATAAATCTGTACATTATATTTGTGATGAAATTTTAGAAAACACCACAAATAATTAATTTAAACAAGATGGAGCTTTCAAATTAAGCTCATATAAAAGTGCCACCTTAAATTTCTTCTCCCGATGTTGCTATAGTATAATATTATAAACTGGATTGGTGTGATGTTTTGACATACTTCATGCATACTTCAAGACGATGAGCGATCAAGGAAAGTGAATGAGTACATACCGGCAGAGGAGATTTTATACCGTTATAACACGAATTTAATTGCCAAATTTAATAGCCTGATGACGTTGATTTGTTTCTGAATTTGACTTGATCTTTTCAAATACCGGACATGAATAACTCGATCGCTCACCGTATATAAAGCTTCTTACTAGTCCGCCTGTAATGTTTGTGGGCTATTCTCAAAAATGTTAGCTGACATAAAATTCATTTAAAATTTCATGCCAGTAATTCAATTTTTTTGGAAACTCAATGAAAACGTCGAGTTATATAAGGCAAACAAATAATGTTCCGTTGGAATCTAGGTCTTTTTACAGCCAGCATTTTTATTAAGTTTTTAAAAGGTGTTTGAAGTTCTTATCTTTGGCGACCAATGTTTCCACCTTTATTGATTCCATTTTCGTCTCCAAACACATCTTCTTGTCCTTATCTCCTCTTCACAGAGGTAACTTTCCTATAAGTCGAAGAGAAACATTCAAAGATCACCTATTGAGCCAAATCCCGAGGCTAAATTATCATTACATTCTATGTCACACGTGATTTTTTAGTAACGCCCCTTGTTTTACGTTGCGTAACAAAAGCTAGACTCTAACGAATATTTTCCTCATAGCCAGAGTTTAGACTTCTACTCTTTGCAATATAGCAATTACTTTGATACGATAGACACGATTAAGTGACGTTGTCCAGGAACGTAAAAGAATTCCGGTGCAATGCACTTAATGGGATCTAACTAAGAAAGCTGGTGCCACGTGTTCGGTTCTACGTTGCGAACTGAGCTCAGATCATATTTAGCTATCCAGTTTTTGACATAACTACAACATTTAATGTGGGTTATTTTGCTTAACAAATGTATTCTTAAGAATAAGCTGCTAAACCTTATTTTGTTTGACGAGTGAACCGCCCAAAACCTGAAATAAACAACATCATCTCTTTGTGGACCAAATTCTTTGCCTCATCGTACTCCCATTCAGTAAACCCTTACAGCGGTCTGGATTAATTATAAAGGTCACATTTATCTTAAACGATGCTCACCTTCAATATTAGCTTATAATTTCAAGCTTCAGTCCATATATCCACATTTTTGTTGAAGAGACCATCCAAGTTTTTTCAGCGGCAGTACCACACTTCTCACGTCGACGACTAGTACGGTTTAGTGTGGTTTCTTGAATTTGCATGCACATAGTTCAGCAGCAACAGCCAATCATTAGGATGTATGTCACATAACTTATTCCCGCGCTTTTAGAAGCAGCGAATCACAAATCCAAGAGAAAAAATGGTATTGAGCGTGTTAGATTTCTTTTTAAATACAATAGTGTGGTTGAATTTTTATTGGAAATACATGGCCGTCTAAATGTTAATATCTTAAGTAAATAAAACATAAAATATTGAAAATTAAAAAAAAATATTGAAAACAATTGAAAAAATAATGTAAAATAAGAAAAAGATCTAATGAATTTCGACCAGTCAAATGTGATTTCTGTTGTTGCGGATTAAGGAAAGGAAATAAAAAAGAGAGAGAAAGATATAAACAAACGATAATAATATAATAGGGGGGAAAAAGACTTGCATACCTACCCTCGCTGAGCCCGAACTAACGAGCATGGCGGCAGTAGTGATATATCTATCCAATTAAGCCATGAGAATATGAGACCTTATTTTCAGTAGGTAAGTTGACGTTGGCTCCAGAAGTATTCATCGTTCATCGTGCCATCTTCTGTGAATCAACAGTAAGAAATGATCTAACTTAATCTAACTTCCATAAAACAAGGCTGACTTTCCATGAAACATCCATAAAACATGCTGGGCAAAAGAAAACAAGAAAAAAGCCATTTAAACTCTGCTTTCCAATTGCTCAATATGTTCTAGAAGGTGCTCCAATGAACATGAAGGACACATCTTTTTATCAGTAAAAGGTATTAGCCAGCACTTACTTAAAGAAAAGTGCCTCTAGACATTCATAAAATTTGTAAAAAATGTGAAAGGGAGTCTTAACCCTTTAACTCCCATGAGTGACCAAGACAGAATTTCTCCTTACAATGTCAATACAATATCAACCAAATAAGCAATAAGAACAAAGAAAAATATCAATTTGGGGATAATTAGTTGATCAAATACTAAATTCTCTGAACTAACACTGTAAGAATTATATGGTTGACAGTAAGGAGAATTGACAAATTTTATCTGGGAGTTAAAGGGTTAAGGATGATGTTAGACTACAAATTATAATTTGATTAAGAGTGAGTTTAAATACATGTATTTCCTATTTGAATAAAATTTTTACAAATTTTCCTCACTTGTTGGAAACTTGTTCAGTTTATAACATTTTCAAATACAAATCTGCCATATCGTGTCTAATTTCAGACAATATATGCTCACAATCACCTCTAAACTTTAAAATTTTGCTCTGTCAGAAAATTACAGTGAAAATAAGTAGTTCACATTGTTCCTCACTAACTAAAGATAAATCAAATGTTCACTGTGTCGTTCCTAAACTTTCTTTTGTATTGCAAATGTCTTTTTCATTCTTCAATGAACTCTGTTGGATTACATTCCATTCAAGGATATCTTAGATTAATCCTTCAGATTCAGATAGGAATATACTTGGATTATTTGGGCTGAATTTGATACTGTCTGGTACAAACCACCCTTTTTTGGTTGAATTCAATATCTTGACTAACCATAGAGACAATAAAAGGCTAAGTACACTAATCTAAAATACAGAATGTTGTTAGAGTTATAAAAGGCTTGCAGAGAATAAAACTCTCATTGAAAGGTTTTGCAGCCCAGAAGTCTTCAGTGTCTGGTAGGCAATGCATATGGGATCTAACATAAATTGTGAAAAAATTTAATTATGAACCCCTGGTTAAAAGAAAACGAGTGCTAAATATTTCTCGCACATGAATAATCTTAACAGAAAATAACCATTCAGGTGCACCAAGAGTTAATAAAAAAGGCACCCAGCTCCAACAGAAGAAGAACTTAGCTTTTTGGTAAACAAAATGATTGCCTAGCTTTACTAAATTTTTTACTCAATAAATTTTCCTAAAAATTACCTATCAATTGTTTCATTCCTGTTGAATGACTTCCTCCTCATCCTGGAGGTCTTGGTTTTCTTCTTCATTATCCTTTTCTCCCTCATAAAATAAGACAGGACCTCCATCATAAATATAACACAAAAATGTCCATGTCTCTTGTGACAGCTGCCCATTGTCGGAGTCTACAAAGAAACATTTTGAGAATGCAATGAGAATGTTGTCTTCTTTAACTATAAATATAAAGCCATTTCATGGACAGCTTGCAAGTCTGTAGGGCATTCGACAAAGAAATCAAAATATCTGAAGTTTGAACCTGCATCCAGGACAAGAACATTATATTTCCAACCTTGCAAAGATGTTCCAAATACTTCTTCATCAAAGTAAATTCTTTTTTCCATGATAGCTGCTTTTTGGTACAAATCCCACACTTGTACTCAGACATTAATACTCGACCAGATGTTCTTCCATATGCTAAGGATGGTATTTGACTAGTGCAAAACATAATATTAAACAAATGTGGAGAACATATTTTGATAGTATTTTCTTTATCAAATAAAATTCCAGCCAAATAATGATCAATTCCAGTTCCCCTTCCTTCAAGGGATTCATTGTTGATGGAGATAAGAATTCAAAAAATTTTGAAAAAAAATATCAAACAATGAAGGAAAAATAAACCTGGTAAAATCAAAGTAAAACATATTTTCTATTGACTTGCAAAAAGACACCAGCAAAAGAATGTCAAAAATAGGAAAGAGCCAAATGACTATACAACTGATCTTCCAAAAAAAAAATGGTTGTAGTGTTAGTGGAAAACTCCAAGGTACAATTATTCATTGGAAAAGTATAAATTAAGGTTTAATTCAATACTCCCAACAGCCTCCTGAACCAAACTATAACTTTAAAGAATAAAATAGTGATTTTAAATCATGATAATATCTAAGAGCTCACTATTAAAAACCAGAAAAAATTACATTGTGTATAATATCAAGTTTGATCACAAACTATTGCAATGATAGTGTCCTTGTTTCTCTCCATGAGTGTCAAAACTTTAAAACACCAATGTCTAAAATAAGATGCAGGTGTCTGAAATTATACACAATTGTAACACTAACAACACTAATGTCCAAAATCAGACACTGGAGTCTAAAATCTGATACTAGTCTCCAAAATCAAACACCTGTGTCCAAAATCAGACCCTTGGGTCTAAAATACAACACAACTGTCCATAAAGAGATACTAGTGTCTCAAATCAGACACAACTGTCTAAAATGGGACACTAGTGTCCAAAATAAGAAACCCATTTTCAAAATCAAACACAGGTTTCCAAAATTGATTACTTCTAATCAAAATTGGACTATCGTGTGCAAAATCATGCATAAAAACATAAGCCTAAGAATGTCAAAAACAGGAAAAAGTTGGATAACTACTGGTAATGTGGCACAATTTTCATCAAATTTGACAAGTCTTTTGGACTATCTTTAGTTTGCCACACAGCCTAACATTTACATGTATATGAAAGGTCTAGCTTTGACCAACAGATAAAAATGCTAATTGAGTTGTTGAATTGCATGCATTGTAAATCATCCACTGTATTATGTGAACAGCCAATAGTTTTTGTTTATTGACATTCTACAGAAAACAAACAAAAAGTAGCCAGGGAAGTCCATACTTTCTATTAAGAAAAGGATGCAATCAATTGTTACATATTTTACCTCAGCCTAAAAGTAATAGTCCCTTCACTAATTCTCCTGCCTGAAAATCTCACATTTTTTGGTTGGCTACTCCTGATAATTAAGTGCTCAATCAAGACAACATCCCCTGGTTGACTAAACTCTAAATTTGCTACATTCTGATAAATCCTACATGTCTGACAGAGCAACGATAACTCACAAACTCATACTGTCAATCACTGCTAATAGTTAATGAATTCAGAACAAACGTCCCTTGCTGAACCACTAGTTTCACCATTCATGAGCACCACAGTGTCAGCAATGCGGACCAGGAGAGCAGCAACTGCATCCTTATCAACCGAAGCCTTATTTGCCCACACATCACCTGAAAGATATTTCTCTGCACTTCCCTCTGCTTCTTTAGGAAGCAGAGATGGGCTAAGCTCTACTGGCATATGTACAGTAAAAATAATGGCCAAGTTCTTATATGGTGCATTTTGATCATCACAATAAGAGTGAAACAAAAGTGGTGAGGGTGGTGGGAGAAGCTCAAGGTGATGGATGAGCACCACCCTGTGGAGAGCATCAATTTTTTTCTTCAAGAAATCGTCCATTTTTTTTTTGGTTTGTTCTGGAGGATTTCCTTTCTCTTTTTCACCATCAATTCTGGCCAGATTTCTTTTATGACTTGGATCCAGCATTTCTGCTAGTTTAATGGCCAGGCAATCCACGTATTCATGTGCTGCTGGAGGTGCAGCAAGTAAGAACACCAGTGGTTGTGAGGGATCCTTATTCCGTAGATGAGCCTTTCCGCGATTTCCTAAAATCTTCCAGAACCGTTCGGTCTGATTAGTGAATGACAACTGTAACTTTTCAAGCCCATTTCCAAAGACTTTCTCCAGATCAAAGTCAGGCTTCATCATGTCGTTGTTAGGAGGTCCAAGGTAGATAGCTACAACAATACATGCCATTGCGGTGACAAGGAAAATTCCCATGAGGGAAATATACCTTGACTGCGACTTGGTACTGGGATTCGAGCTGTGGATAAATTTCAGTTGTTGATCTTTCTCAGAACCTGATTTCTCTTCATCTGTTGTCTGATTTTCTATGCCTTCTTTTAGGTCTGGGTTAGTTAATTCCTGCTTAGCGGGCGCTATATTTACAGATTCGCGAACATGTTTGTTTTTCCCTCTCTGATTGTCTCCGCCACTTTTTCCCTCAGTGAGTGCATTACGTTTCTCTGCCCCTTTACCTTCCTCATTGTCCTTCTTCAATACCTCATGTTCGTTTGAACCTTTGTCTTCGTCACCTTCAGCTCCATTTTCCTTCGCAAACGTTTCATCGGCTCCCCCTTCTCCATCAAGCTGAGATTCCGCTCCCCCTTCGCAGAATTTATCATCAACGTCTTCGGAAGACATCGTGTAAACAACCTGATCTCGTGCAGAGTAGTGCTCAAACACAAAACTGTTTCTGCGTGACTAGTGTTCGTGACCAGTGCACGCGGTATCAGGAAGTGCCCTTGGTAACCACTCATATACATTACTTGTTCTAACAAGGTAGGTCATTGGCCAATTGGTTTAGAGTAGCCACTGAAAATTACTGTAATAAATTGCGCACGAAAGCGCACGGAGATCGTGCAGCAACATGGGGAAGAAGAGACTTATACAGCTGATGATAATTTTGTGGGCACCTACTATAAGCGCAGTTCTCATTGAAGGTATTGTTGGAGGTGCTGTTCTTGTAAGTGGCTACTTGGGGCCTAAAATTTATTGTCATTTCACTGAATGCTGTAAGAACAAGTGGATTAAACCCAACATAACGGGTTTACAGTCAGCCCTTCGGAGGCGTGTTTTTGGTCAACACTTGATCACCGAGACCGTTTTAAAGGCTCTTGTTGGACATTTGAACAACAAGTCGCCTGATAAAGCGTTAGCCCTTTCCTTCAACGGCTGGACAGGATCAGGAAAGAACTTTGTGAGCAAAATCATTGCCGAACATATCTTCAAAAAGGGATTGGAGAGTGATTATGTTCATCAGATCATAGCTACCCATGAATTCCCTCATCAGTCCGAAGTGGACTTTTACAAGCGACAGCTGCGCAATCGAGTGATAGGTTCTGTATCAAAGTGCTCCAGATCGCTATTTATCTTCGATGAAATGGACAAAATGCCAATAGGCCTCATAGATGTACTTAAACCCTACTTAGATCACTACCCTCCTGATGTAGGCAAGATCGATTACCGTCAAAGTATCTTCATATTCCTTAGCAATACGGGGGGTCATCTTATCAACAGTGCTGTTCTAAAACACTGGAAAGACGGAAAGAAACGAGAAGACATCAAGATTAAAGAGATGGACAAAGTTATCAATCTCGGTGAATTTAATAACAAGGGTGGATTTTGGCATTCCTCTCTAATTGAAAAAAATCTCATAGATTACTTTATTCCATTTATGCCGATGGAGAGATCTCACGTTAAAATGTGTGCCAAAGCCGATTTAGAGAAGAAAGGACACCCAGTCACAG